TTTTTTTTTTTTTTTTTTTTTTTTTTTTTTTTTTTTTTTTTTTTTTTTTTTTTTACGAGCAAGATCGGGCACGAGATGCGTGTGCAATAAAGCTCTATCGTAATGTGCAGTGTTCTCTCTTATACTGTAACACGCTTATGTTTATATGGTTTTGTAACCAACTAGTTACTTACATAATATATAAGTGTGTATACTCGTCCTTATCGTTATTACAAAGAGGAAGGGAGAAAGCTCAGCTGTCAATCAAATTTCAATCCAAGTGTTTATTTTCAATTAAAAAAAAAGCTGTATCTCCGTTAATAAAAAAACTAAAGCTAAACAAGATTTGATTTGGGATTATTAAAATTTAAAAAAAAATTTTTTTTTTTTTATATTAGGCCTTTGCAACTACACAAAAAATATTATAAATGTATGATTTATGTGTCCAGGCAGTCTCGAGCATCTTAGCTATTGATTTCAAACCCGTAGAAACACTAAAAACCTGAATTTTTAGGTTGAAAAGATGGCCAAAACTTAAAACGATTGTATCACCGTAAATAATGGAGATAGAGGTAAATTAGCCTCAATTTGGGATCATTAAAACTTTTAGAAAATTTTTGTTTTGATAGTAGGCCTTTTCAACTATACGAAAAATATCATTTATGTATTATTTAAGCATCTAGGCGATCTAGAACATCTTAGCTAATGATCACAAAACCGTAGAAACGCTGAAAACCTGAACTTCTAGGTTAAAAAGATGGCCAAAACTTGAAACAGCTGTATCTCCGTAAATAAAAGAGTTGGATCTAAATAAGCCTCAATTTGAGATCATTAAAATTTTTGAAAATTTTTTTTTTACGATAGGCCTCTGCAACTACACGAAAAATATTATAAATGTATAATTTAAGTGTCCAGGCAGTCTAGAACATCTTAGCTAATGATCACAAACCCGTAGGAACACTAAAAATCTGAATTTGTAGGTTGAAAAGATGGCCAAAACGTAAAACCAGCTGTATCTCCGTAAATAATGGAGATAGAGCTAAATAAGCCTTAATTTGGGATCATTAAAATTTTCGAAATTTTTTTTTTTTCCTTATATTAGGCCCTTACATTTACACGGAAAATATTACAAACGTGTTATTCAAGTGTCTAGGCAGTCTAGAACATCATAGCAAACGATCACAAACCCGTGGAAACGCCCAAAACCTGAATTTTGGGGTTAAAAAGATGGCCAAAACTTAAAACAGCTTTATCTCCGTAAATAATGGAGATAGAGTTAAATAAGCCTGAATTTGGGATCACTGAAATTAATGAAAATGTTTTATTATATTTTTTTATATTAGGCCCTTGCAACTACACTACAAATATTATAAATGTATTAGTTCGAACCCTTGACCTCATGCATATGAATCGAGTACCTTACCCACTCTGCTACAAGCGCTGCTGACTATAGAAACTCGGTTTCTTGTACTTATCTTGTGGTTCGTAACTATAATATTCCATTTTAATGTGTATTCAATAATAATACATCAATTTATGATAAATTATGTATTTGTTTTTTAAATAATTAGTTAAAAAGATTAAATAAATAAATACACATGTAGAATAGAGTTGAAGAACGTATTAATGGTTTCTAAAGGTATTTACAATGTACACGGTTATCCTGGGAAAATTAAAAAAAAAAAAAAAAAAAACTAAAGAGCTTTTTCCTAGTTTGGTTTTCGATGACATATTCATCTGCCTGTGGTTATTTTTGCCAAGCTTTTTAGCTTTGCTCGCGGCCTATTGATTATCATCGACCGCTAAATACCACTCCTTATCACGTGGCCATTGCGTCACATTCATACGGCGCACCATAACCTATACTCTGGCCAATCGATCACGATAAAAATGATCCACGACAACTGGGATTTAGACGGAGTAAAGACTTGATTGTTTTTTTAAGCTTATTATCGGCGACCTCGGCGCTATTCATGAGGCCTTTGCAACTACAAAAAAAATATTATGAATGTATAACGTAAATGTCTAGGCAGTCTAGAACATCTTAGCTATTGATCACAAATCCGTAGGAACGCTAAAAACCTGAATTTATAGGTTCAAAAGATGGCCCAAACTTAAAATAGCTGAATCTCCATAAATAATAATAATAGAGCTAAAGAAGCCTTAATTTAAATTCATTAAAATTTTTGAAGAATTTTTTTTTTTTTTTTTTTTTTAAAATTCCTTAGCCG